TTTTTTTTTTTTTTTTTTTTTTTTTTTTTTTTTTAAGCATGCACATGATCAGGCGAGGGAGTTACTGGGCTGCAGCCTAATGACCACGAACAGAGAGAGACAGGCTCCATAATGAAAGCCAGGACTGTAGGCTAAAGAAATGAATCCTCATTAAGAGCAGCAAGAGCAGCTCGCAGGGGCGAGGGGCTGTCCCCCAGGTCCCCAGCCTTTGTTCCCCGGAAAACGGCCCGGATGGGGAGATGCTGGTAGCTCTGCTGGGAGGGGAGAGGAAGAGAAAGAAAAGGCAACAGCGAAATGGACCCAGGAACCCTGTGTTAACCATTTTAAGGTTGACCCGCCGGGGAAAACCAGACCAGCCCCAGTAGCTCTGCGTCCTCTCCAGCTGTGAGCGCTGGGGTCTCTATTTGGCACAGTCCGGGGGGAACCCGTTTGTCCCTGACTGGGGAAGGGCCCGGGGGCTCCTTGCCCTGTGCCACCAGCACCGAGGGAGAGAGACATCAGCTCCAAGGGGGGCTCTCCGTCCCTTTCGCACCCCCTCGGGACCTTCATTCGTGACCGAGACCCCGGAGCTTTCCCCCCGCCCCGCCGCTCCGGGGCAGCTTTACAGCCGGGCCGGGCCGGGCTTTGTCTCCGCAACGTGACCGGGACCCCCAGGATGGACACCCCCACCCTCGGGGGACCCGGTGGCGCGGCCAGGATGGGCTCCCCGGGAAAGCACAGGGTCCTGGGGTGCCCAGGCTCCTGGCTCGGCCCCCGTTCATTAGAGATGTCTGCGAGGCTGGGTGGGCGCTCGGGCGCTCTGCTTTTTTTTGCCCCCTTTATCCCACACACCTCACGCTTTAGCCCCCCACCCCCGTATAATAGGGTCATTAATAGCCAGCAATGATAACTACCTTAATTTAGGTCACGGCTCTGACCCTTGCTAAGGTAGACTGAATTATCCCTGCAGAAATGAACCCACTGGAGACGAGGGATAAAACGGCACTTCTAAAAAGATTAACCAAAATTACCGCCAGCAATCCATAACGGCCCGACGGCCTGCACTGACACGGTGTGCTCTCTGGCCTACGGACAGGACATCCTCCCCCCGAGCAGAAGCAAAAATACACTATCCCCCCAAAAATATGCGTGTCTGTACACCCTCAAATCAGCAGTCACTCCCAGGTATTCTGGGTCCCAGAATCTCAGTCCCTGGGGATTATTTATTTAGACTTGAGTTTCCAACCGCAACAAAGGTGTGAATACGTATTTTTTAAACCTTTGATTGGTGTTAAGAATTACATTTTAAAAATACCGCCGGGAACGAGAAGCCCCACTTTAAAGGTCTGGGTAGGATTGCCGGAGATGGGGGAGTTCATTGAGTGATGCTAACCGAGCCCTTGCCGAGGGAGCCGGAGCGCAGGGAGTCCCTCGGGGGGAACCTGCGAATGAGACAGGAATTTTTGGCCTTGGATCCGTCCCGGCAGGACCCGGCCTGGTGCCGGGGAGAGCTCCGGGTCGGGCAGTGCTGGAGCGGGCACCGGGGAGCGGCGAGGCTCTCTGTCCTCACCCCGGCTCCCCCAGCTCGTCCCATGCAGCCGGAGGAGGAAGAGGAGGAGGAGGGATGCTCAGGCGGAGGACAGTGCCCGCTGTCGCTTATAGAAAAGGTTACTGGCAATGTCAGCCCCTCCCGGGACCGGGTGCGGGGCTTTCGGGAGCGCTTCCCACCGAGTCACCCCGGAGCTTCGGTGGGGGGAGGACATCAAGCTCGGGGTGATGTGGTGGGGGATGCTTGGTAGGGAAACGACCCGCGTTTCGATGTCTTTCGCGTGCTTGCCTTTTATTTTTAAAAGTGCCATCACCGTTGAAATAGCAGCTATCAATTGCACCATTTCTTAAAAAAAAAAAAAAAAAAAAAAAAAAAAAAAAAATATGTTTAGGGCTATATTCTGCTTAATAAGGAGAGTGTGCAGGCTGGATCCTCACCTAAATCACTGATAAGCGTCGAAAGCACCGAAGAATCCCTAAAATGCTGCCGGACTGACAGAGATGTTCACCTACTTTCTGCTCTCAAACCCAAAGATTCATTAAGTCTTTGTCCTTAAACGCATTATTTAGGTTACCTGTAATACGAAGTATCCGACCATGCCTGGTGTATTTGACGTTAGAATAAAGAAGCATTGAAAACTCAAAAAACCTGCATTATTTTGAGACTGGAAAGGGAAGACCTTCCTTGTACAGGGCCCTGATCAAGGCCAGGGCTGCAGGCAGAAAGGATATACCGCCCAAGATTTATCTTTAACTTTCTTTAGAGTGTAGCTAAAGGCTTGGTTTTAAAGTCCCCAGTCCATCGGGATTTGTTTGGCTGCCACCTTTCCTTGGAGGTAAATACACACAGCACCAAATCTCCTTTTAAACTGAGGTGTTTTTATATAAAATCTTCACTCTGCTTAAAATCCCCAGTTTTCATCAGGGTTTTCACGGAAAATTCCAACAAAACCAATCAAACAAAATATCAAAGTATTCAAATAAATCTGGAAGGTTTTACAATTTAGGTGTTGGGGTTTTTCCCCCATTAAGTCCTTTTTATTAAAAAAACTTTTTTCTTTCTTTCTTTCTTTTTTTTTTTTTTTTTTTTTTTT